TTTAATATTGAAAATCACATCGGATTATTGGCAACTGGGCATTTCATGCAAAAATCGACCTTATGGATGTTGGATCGCAAATTGTTTGTTTACTGTTGTATCTGTCGTTTTTAGTTGTTAATCTGAGGTCTGTTCTCGGGAGAACCAAACGTCAAACATGCCCTTTTTGTCAATTTTACAGTCATCATCCATGGTATTAGAGAATTTTTGCACTTCTTATTTTGCCATTCCGCTGTGGTTATCGTTATACTGAGTATGCGCAGTAGCTAGAAAATGTTCGTTGTACTTATCAACCACAACGAGCGGCGTTATTTAAGAAAGAATAACCTTGTGCTTATAGCTATACCTATGGATATGGTAAAACTGTATGGATGCCACATTGAAGAAAATTGAATAGATGTCATCCCGTTTTAATAAATAATTAATTAAAATCATCTGAAATTTGAGAAAATATAAATACAAATAAGTGTGGATTATCATTTTGATGCTATGAAATTGGTTTACATCCGAAGGCGCAGGCGCAGTTCATGGCCCAGAGGTAAAATAGACATAACGGAAATATGTGAACGTTTGGCGATGCAAAATCTCTGATTATGAAGGTCGTGGTAATCGTTATCGCCGATAAAGTTAACCATAACTGATCCAAAAACTGCTGTTATTTTAAGGGGTGCAAAAAGTGTCTATTTTTTTGTTTGTTTTGCAAATGATTTATTAGCAGTAATTGCCAATTGGGTACATTTGCATATTGTGTTGAAGTGGAAAATACGGTCTAATACGAAAACGTGGGAAACCATGGAAGCTGCGGTTATAGGAAGAATTCTTGTACTGAATGATCTACTAGATGCAGAAGAGCAAGAAGAAAGGCCTTTAAGGAGATTTCACAGAAGAGGAAATCCCTTTGATTTAACGGATAATAAATTTATAAAACTGTTTAGATTAAGCAAAGATCTTGCTAGAAATTTTATTGATTTATTGAAACCTTTTATACGGACTCCAACTAGAACTTCATCATTAAAAACTGTGGTAAAATCGGAGGTAAATTTCCCACTTTGAAGTTTCTCATTTTGCCTTACAAATTCAATGAGCATTTCTTTTTGAGTATAATTTATAGGTGAACATCTTGATTTTTCCAAATTCATTTTCCACGTAAACAAAACAACACGAAAATAAAAATTGTAAATAAAATTATTAATGATTTGATTATTGATTTTCAGTAAATAAATAAGCAAAGAATGAGATTACGTCCCAAAACACAAATAAAACAAACCCCTCGTTTTTATTCTAATCGGACTTTACCGATGAGTTAGCTATCTTTGTTTAGTGAATGGAAAATGATAATGACCGACATAGAATGGTGGATCCATCGGTAAAATTTGATGAGAATAAAAACGCAGGGCTACCGGTTTTCTTCTTTCTCATGACATTCGTCCTTTTAACGCACTAAAATTGTGGCTAATTCTACATATTACTGTTGGCAACAACGCATTATTATTTGACAAGTTTTCTCTCATTCTATCATAATCCCATACGTTCGAGAATACCAACTTTGGCACCAAGAGAACGAGCGTGCGATGTGATCTCTCACTTCTCCTAGGGGAACGTTCACTTCTACCATATTCGAGAATCGACTAATGACATGGTACGTGCTAATAATTCACCAAATATCTCGGCTTCTCGAGAACAGAATAGCTTTTGCACCTAGGAAACATAATATAATCATATTTTGCTCCTAAAATGATTATACAATAGGCAATTTATCGCGAGGATAATCAAACATAATCTGATTATGCTGAGTTATTTGATACGTCAATTGTGTCATACTTCCCTTACTCCCTCTCCATTCAATTCTGAGCCTGCAAGTGATGTTACTATCATCAGCTTATAGTAATGACGTCACCGCAGACCTCTATGGAATACTTGCGATTCAGGCTATGCTAGTGAATTAATTTTTTCGTCGATTTTAAACGTAGAAAAGGTGATTTTCGGTTTGTTCTCACAAAAGAAATTGAGTATTCTTGATCCTCGAGTATCCCAGAATTTGATGGTGGGGGAGTTAGGGAAGCATGACACAATTGACAAATCACATAATCCAGCATAGCATAATCGATTATACTTGATTAACCTCGCGAAAAATAGCCTAATAAAGCAGAGAAAGGTTGTGCCCCTTATAAATCGCAGTAGGTACAGTCATGAGCACAAAAAGTGGGACACCCGACTGACTGGTCTTGTCATTTTTCGCTATTTTGCGTAAATCAGTCTTTTCTCTACAATCGATTTTTTGTCAAATATGACAATCCCTGTCATTGCCGTAGGTATAGCTGTTGAGCCCGTTTTACAATAGGAAAAAACGAGTGTCCCACTTTTTGTGCTCACGACTGTATATGTTACGTGTTTGGACGCGTACTATCTCTAGTTACTCAGAGGGGCAATTGTCTTCACGGACCATCCAAGAATTAGTATTAAAAACTTACTTTTTTTCCACCCTGTATGAAATCTTTTTGAAACGATAAAAGACGAAAACGTTGACCCAACAATAATGAAGAACATTGTTTCGAATAACTGAGAAAGAATCAGGGTGATGTAAGTCATTTTTCGGGTAAACTGAAATTTCTGCAAAACTACGAGATTTATTCAAAAACCCTTCAAGTTGTTTTTTACCATTGAACTATTGATTCTTCCTAAATCCAGAAAAAAAGCAGGAGTATGTTTGAAAAGAAATGGCGACGCTCTGAAATTTGACAGACTTTGCACTGTTTTACTGTCCACCCTGTATGTTGAAGATAACGTTACTGTTTATCAGCACGATACCATATGCCTTGAACACCAAACAATGCGCCCCAATATGCTTCAAACCGCAATCAAATATCTCTTATACTTTCTGAGAAAATGGACTTCAAAAATAGGCAAAAAAATTCTTTATGCCTATCGAAGTTCCAGCAGTTTAGTTTTCACAATGTGCTTACTTTTAAAAACCGATATCTCGAAAACTAATCGTTCGATTTGAGATTTTTCTATGGGACTGTAAAGGGATAACAACGAGCTATCCAACGATGTGCAACACAAGGTAGGTTCGTATTTAAAAAAAAGGTTGGGGTAGCTACCCCCTGAGGGCAGAGCTGAGCAAAGCACTCTAAAAAAGTGCTTGGAGCACCAAGCACCAAGCCCTTAGGAAAAGGAATTGCCAGCATCAAGCACTAAGCACTTTGGAAATTCTTGTGCTGTGTGCTTGCAATTACCAATTACCAAGGAAAGTAATTGCAAAATTCAATTACCAAGCACCCATTACTCGGAAAGTGTTTAAAATAATTGTTGATTATTTGCAGGTGCTTGCAAGCACTTTTATCTCAAATAAATTACCAATTACCAAGCACTACTTTGCCAATTGCTTCCAATTTATTTTTAAAATAAAGATGTTGCTGAATTGGGGTCTGGGGAGAAAGGCGAGAAAGCAATTTGAAGCGTAATAAGTTTTAACGTTTTTGGTTGATGTTGATATGATGATAGTTATAATATAAAATGATCAAACCAAAGTTTTTTGTTCTTAATTTGTTATTAGTAGTCTTCGTCTCGTCACTCTACATACACTACAGTACACTGTGTCATCGAATATTAACATTATTATAGCTTAAGATAAAGACTAATAAACTGGCAATCGCAAATCAGCATACGACGGGTAAAAGAACACAACTGATATTGAATAACGATCGATAGCCAATAACTCAACTATAAAGCTGGCTTCCCACGGCCCATGATATTGCAGGCCAGGCCGCGCTTATACGCGCCAACGCTTCATAGGAAGGACGGCGCAATCCGGCTTGCGATATTACGGGTCGTGGAAAAACACCTTAACACAATACACAACACTTTCCATATTGCCGATGCCGAGACGGCCTTCAACCAGCCAATCACATTAAAGCTTATGCTGCATTAAGTTGTTACTGAGGACTTGATTTTTAGTGCTTGCAAGCTCTTTTGAGTGCTTGCAAGCCTTTTAAGTGCTTGCAAGCACTTTAAATGGCTTGACATGCGAAAATCAATTACCAATTACCAAGCACTGTTTATAGAGGGCTTCGATTACCAATTACCAAGCACTGTAATTTAAAAGTGCTTGCAAACACTGTGCTCGAAGCACTATTGTGCTTGAAGCACTTTTTCAAGCACTTTCAAGGCAATTACTGCCCAGCTCTGCCTGAGGGGTGAGGTGGGATGACCCCCTCCAATTTCCCGATACGTTTTTGAGACTTCCTGATATTATTTTTTGTCTAAGAGATATTCCCGATTGCTACTTTTCAAATTGTCACCCTGTATCCTGTATATATTGAATTAAGTAAATAAGAATTCTCATAGATAGTTTAAAAGGCCCCAAAAAGATTTAAATATCAATTATGTGAAAAAAGATATCCACTCCTAATGCACTGCATGATGTAAAATAAAAGCACTTTTTCCTAAGAATAGCAAATATTAGCAAACAAAAAAGATGTACCTTTCTTCTATGAAGGTAGCTCTGTCAAACAAGATATTAATCAGCCTGGACATATTTGGACATTTTTTTATAAGTCAGCGTGAACTTTAACTTGTTGGAAAAAATACTGAAGAAAAAAAAAAAACATTTGACATATATTTACTACACATTTACAAAAAAAATAAACAGGAATATATTGTCAATGACTTAATAATACTGTATACAAAAAACAAGTTGAAAATAGCTCGTACTTAATAAGCATAAAATTTTTGAAAATAGAAAAGGTTTTAACCTAAGATTTTGTAAATCACAGAGGAGCAAGTTTGAATTAAATTTATTCACAAACCAGCAGTTGTAAAAAAAACTAATTAGTACTGGCATAGCTTACGGTCTTAACAACCTGTGACTATAGAGAAAAAATTATTTTTTCAACTTTGACTTTTTCATCAGATGGTCACCATTTTTCCCATTTCAAAACACTGTGCGGCGGGCCGCAAACACTCTCATTGCACCCTTGGTACATAAATTACTATTATAGGTCTAGCCAGTGTGTCATTTCTCTCAAAAATCGCTTGTGCCATACCCTCACACTGGGCTTTGATCTACGACTCCGACGAAAATGGACTTGGTGCTAATAGGTTCTTGCATCATGTGCTTGGCTATAAGGGACCTACTTTGGTCATCTTCAAGGTTGAAAATAATCAAAAATTTTGTATAGCTTCTCCTTGTGAATGGAAAGAGTCTCATCACTATTGGGGAGGTGAAGGTGCTTCTGTCTTCCAACTTTTACCCAAGTAAGAACCAATTTTTGTAGCCGTCAGAAGATCTACAGTTGATTTTTCTTCAGATTTCAGCTATTAGAAAAAGGCGAGGAAAAAGGTCAAAAACTCATTTACCTAAATACCTCAGTCCGTGGATATCCGCAAGGACTAAGAGCAGGTTCAGATCCTAGAGCCCCTATTATAACAGTAGATGGAGGTTTCGAGAAAATAGAATGGCAAAAAATCCCATATTACATTGAAACAATTGAGGTATGGGGCTGTGGAGACCAAGTGCAAAGAGAGCGACAGCTGGAAGTGAAAAAATGGGAGGTCAAAGAAGCTGAGAAACAAAGAGCTGTCAAATTAAGTGCAGCTGATTGGTTAGATCATCCTGATAGGTGAGTTACCATTGAAACCAGTGGCAGAATGATATTAATTTTTGTTTGTTTATTGTAGATATTTGCTAGAGCTTGCAGGCAGGCCACAATATCACCAGAACCAGACTTAGTGCCAAATATTGTTAATTTTAGGCTGTTATGCAACTAGAAATTGTTCAGAAGCTGCATTTAAACCTAAATTTATTGTTGTACTAAATAATTACAGGAAAATTCGGCCTTAAGAAAGAGTATTGAATTGTTAGTGTTTTTCTACAAATTGAGGCACAACACTGTAAATATTTGATATTAATTTAAAAAATCCAAAGAACTGTCAGAAATGTGCCTTAAGATTTTTTTGTACTTAATGTTTTGTGTACAAAAATATAGGTACTACTAAGATTAAGTCTTTTTAGGCAGTAGATTTGTTTGTGGTTCTTTGGATAAATATTTTTAGGTAAAGGACATAGTTTATTGTGAAACACTTTAGTGATATTTTACTTAATTTTTATGGTTTTAACTTAATTAAGGACTCTTAAAAACAATTAAGAAACTGAATTATATTAAAAATAATCATTGTATGAAAAAAAAAATGTGGTCACGTAATTTTGTCAAGTTCCCCAATTTTAGGCAATTTTTATAATACTCAAGTGTATTACTGTATTGTCAAGGATTCCGGGTTCAAACTTATTACTATGCTCTATTTGTATTTTCAAAATTACACTTCAGATCTAGCTAGAAAAACATTGAATCGAATATAAGAGAATTTCCAGAGAGACGCGCTGCCCGACGTAAACAAGTAATTTTCTCAGAATCCTGGCGCCAGGTTGTCGATGCATTTCCGAAACAATGACTCCCTTGTTGAATCTCTGAACCATGCCATCTGATTTTTGATGCAATGACGTGGTTCTGGTCTTTGCTCTTGTGAATGCCTTACGGTTGGCAAAGTTTTTGGAATACATAGTTGTGACCCGAAATTGCGCCCTTGATTCGAATGAAGTTCCAATGGGATTCCAAACCTAGTAAAAACATTATTGACATTGACAAGGACTTTTGCAGCTGTAGATGTTTCTGGATTTGGAATAGTAGAAACTTCAGAACAGTAACTGGCAATTGGGTTGAATTTTCATTCCAAGTTTAATTTACAATTCGTCAATAATAGTCGTCAAAAGGTGAGATATTGATAAATTTAGATGTTGTGGCAAAAATCAACAGAGATTGCTGTGTATTGGTTGCTCAAGACTGTTCCACCCAATCTGCTTTAATAGAGGCTGGAAAGGAGGAATAGAACTAGGAAAACGTGAGATCTATTATTATTTATTTATTTTTTTATGACTCAGAATCAGTGTAAATACACTGGTATGTGAGCCTATTTTCCGTTATTTACAAATAATAATTTTTCACAATATTCTTATAACTACATATTATGTATTTACAGATTAATTTGTACTGTTTTAAATAATTTAGTCGGATTGTGAAAAATGGCCTTTAACACGTTAACTGCCAACTCGGTCTATGAGACGGAGAACGTTGTTTCCAGATACGCCGCTGTAGTCCATAAGACCGAGTCCAAAACTATCCACCATCGCCAACGCGGTCTATTAGACCCAACCTCAATTTTTCAGCCTATAACGCCAAGTTATTAAATTTAGGTAACTTTAAACGAACAAATAGACCGAGCCGGTGATTAAGGATAGTTGGGACATCCCTTCCACATTTACGACACTTAGGCAAAATGGCGCAGACCGAGATACGGACCGAGTCGGCGTGCATGAATAAAATTAGTATTTGTACGCCGGCTCAGTCCATAAGACCGAGTGACATATGTCAAAATTCTGTCATTAATATGGCCGCTACAGAAAAACTGTTCAAATAGGCATTGTTAGTATTAAAAGTACTATCCGTGGACAAAATATTATTTTGGGAAAGAATTTTTTTTTTGTAATTTTTTTTTTGTGGCGACAGGGGAAAAGCTGCCAATATTGGTCTGGCAGTTAATGTGTTGAGGTTATAGCAAAGTTCTTTCACATTATTCACTTCCAATACATTTTATGGTATGTGGTTATATGTTTGGATTCCTCTGTAGGTAGAGTAGAGAGTTCTGAGTTTTCACAGTACTAGCCAGTGTCGGACTGGCCCACTGGGCAAAATCCCGGTGGGCTAGGTGACTTCTTCGATAGGTGGGCCATTCGAATATTTATACAAATAAATTAAAATATCTCACTTCCCACGCCATTGATCAACAATTCATACGTCACCGTCCTCATAAAAAATCAACTATCATATCAATATCAATTCCCTTCTGTTCTGAAGAAGTTCAAGCCGAAGTCGCGTACGTAGAAATCACCCGCCGCATATCAATGAATTTGAGTTAAACTGACGCACCCGTTGTCGTTGTTGATTTTTAGAAATACAGAGACAGTGAATTTGTAAAAAAACCAACATCCTCACATTATTTGAAAATCTCGACCTCCGTCTCCTCGCTATTACTATTTTTTTATTTTATACACCCTAGATGTCCGAAAACGGAAAAGTAAAAAAGAGGAAGTTATATAAAACGGGTACAGAATAAAGAGCGATCGCGAGAAAACGATTATTAGAAGCTGCAGCATCCAGCCAACAACTAACTGACTTAATTTTTTTTTGAATACTAAAACAAATACGAATCTGTCAACCGAGGGAAGTTTCGAGGATGCTGCTGCATGTTCTACTTCTACAGAGATTCTAGAAACAGAAGAACTATCCCGACTGCAAGAAATGACCCACTGTTAAAAGCAGCATCAAGCAGTAGTAATGCCGGGTCCAAACCAAGCAGACAAAAAGTAAACACTATTTTGAGACAAAAACACGACAAAATTGCGACAAAAATTTTCGTATGGAGACGAGACAAACTGTCCACACCACAAAGACAAAAATGTACAACAAAATTTAGTTGTTGGTTGTTGCGAATCAGTTGCTTAACCATGTGGCGTTTCCAGAAAGAAAATCAGTGGCGCAATTAGGGGGGGCTGGGCCCCCCCAAGCTCAAGATTAGCCCCCCCAAACCCGATGGTCATAAACATGATGGTAATGACACAAATTAGCCATCCGCCCTCCCAAACCCGAGCGAGCAGATCTGAGTCGCTTTCCAGTGACGTACTTTAAGCACTCCTGGGTCTTTATTCTTGAAACAGGTGAGCAGCGTTCCCAGGAGAACGAGTGTTCCGTCTTTCTCAATGATATCCAACTGATAATATAAGTAACTAAGACGAAACACCCGTTCTTCTGGGAACGATGCTCCCCTGTTTCAAGAATAAAGACCCTGAGCTGCTCTAAAGCGCCCTGGACTGTTTATAGGCGTTTCAGAACATTAGAGTTTCGCGCAACTGAACTGTTCGTTTCTTCTCTCCCCTGCCCTCTCAAGCACCTGCTATTTTATGGGGGCATGAAAAACACGAAGCTTAAAGTTAGGGTTGCCAACTTTGTTTTTTAATTTTTCTGGACGAGGGTATTAAAATATCAGGACATACAGTATAAATTCTGAACATTTTTATTTTTGTAGAGGAAAATACCATTTACAAACTTAAATGAACAATGTGAACATTTTGGCTTAATTTTCTTCGCTTTTCCATCCACAGACGCGTTTCGATCTATCAGATCTCATCAGTGTGGTTAGAAAAGCAAAGAAACCCAACCCAAGTTTAGTGCCTGCAAGTAAAGTAGAAGTAGAAGGAAGTACTTAGGTGCTGAATCCTAGTCTTCGATGGTGCCACGACCAAAATTAGATCTTCGTAATAAATAAACAATTTGACAAAAAAAAAAACATACCTGCTGATACAGTGAAAAAACTGTTCAACAATAATTCTTAGGGTGCATATATAGGAACTAAAAATTTGACCCAAAACCCAAATATAGAAAATACAAGTTGCAAAATGATCCAGTAGTATTTCAATTCATCATAAGTCAAATACATATAATAAATTCCATTTTCAAGTAATGTATATGATTTTCGTTATCAACCAGAACCAACCAGGGTTATAGCCGACTATTTGACAGAATTCTTGATTAAGTTAAAAATTAAGGGCGGGTATTATAAAACTACTTTGAGAGTTAACTTAAAGTTAACTTCTGGAATTACATGTAATTTAAAAAGTTAACTTCAAGTTAACTGTCAAAGCAGTTTTATAATACCCGCCCTAAGTACAATAGGCGTCCTGCAATAGGTTGTTACAGGACGCTAAACAATGAACCTCAAATGGTGGACTTCCACCGAAATGCAGGACGGTTGGCAACCCTACTTAAAGTAGGGTGCGTTCCAGTGACACAACAGTTTTTTAACCCTTTCGTCTGCTGGTCCGTGGTTCGTCTGCTGTTTGTGCACTTGGGAGGAATCAGTGTCGGACCCAGGGGAGGGGCGCGGGGGGGCGTGAGAGCCTGAAAAAATACTTTAAACTCAAAACATTTAAATAAAATCATAATATTCATAGGTACAGAAAAAATGTATAGAAGAATTTTCCAATAAAATTTCATAGAGAAATTTTCCATTAAAATGTTGAAGAAACATTTTCCAATCTGAGACTATTGTTCAATTTATCGTTTTGTTTTTATCAGATACCTACTGATAACGGCTACTAAAACAGGTATAATTTTTTTTTAAATCCAAAACTGGTAAATATAGACCTATTAAACCTTACCATTAGAATACGCAAAAACAGAGCTATCCAATTATAAGATCAAACGAACTTACCTGTGAAGTTCGATCTTAATTATATGAAGCCTCGTCGAAGAAAATAAACCACTGTAGTATCCTTTTCTACCTACCATCTCACACACATTCCAACCTGAATAAAATCGATATTTCGCAAGGGTACCATCCCTACCTACCTTGCGCTGCGCGTCGATACTTCAGTTTGTTTAAAGCCAAATTTTTGCATTTTTGGGTTTTCTTTTTTATGCAAAATCTTAAAAAATAAGGGTTTTGGGAGGGCGTTTATTTTCTTCGACGAGGCCTCATATAATTAAGATCGAACTTCACAGGTAAGTTCGTTTGATCTTATAATTATATTTCAGCCTCGTCTCCGAAAATAAACCACTGTAGATGTTTCAAGCCCATGCAACAATTAAATTTTTTACTGCATATCCCCTAAGGAAGAAA